CAACTCATGCGGCAGTGCGTGGTAGTTCTAGAGGCAGCACATACATCGGCACGTGGACGCGTGTGGCGGCGCTTGTAGAGGCGCGTGAGGTTCCCATGGTTACGCATGGTGGTTTTTTTTTTTGCAGTAGTGTTTCCCTATGAGTGGTTGCCTATTTCTGACAAAGATAATTCTCTTTGTTTTTCGTTTGCTTCAGGTGTTTTTGGTTGCTGGGTTTCTTGGTGTTTTGGATGGTTTTTGTGTGATAGTTTAATTCTTAAATTAAGGTGGTAATATTGTCTGCTACTATTGCCATGAGTAAGAGCATACAAAACAGTACTGTAAGAAATTATGGAATCACAATCAGAGAACACAAATCATTAATATTGTTGCTGCTACTGCGAACTTATCTTCTGAGAGAAGTATTATGATTTAAGTTTATGAGTACGCTAAATTCTTTTAGTATCAGGAATTTTTGAAAAAATTCTCTGCTCTTGCCGAATCAGGTAAAAAATATTTTATCTCATCTTCAAACAAATGAGTGACTAGTTCTGGTGTTACAAATCACATGACAGATAATTCTAATATATTTTTTAGCTTTCGATCACATAAGTCACATTCTCCTATAACTATTGCTGATGAGTTAACCTATAAAATTGTGGGTTTTAGAACCATAAAACCAATTTCATCTATTATCCTATCGTCTGTATTAAGTCTATTTAAACTTACTTTCAATTTGATTTTTGTGAGTAAATTTACTAAGGATCTTAATTGTTGAATCTCATTCTTTCTCAATCATTGTCTTCTTCAGAATCTTATGACGAATCAGATTATTGATAAAGACATATATAGATGGTCTCTACAATCTTGATACTTGGGTGCCTTAATTGATTATCTGCTTTATTTGAAACACATTGTCGATTGGTGCATTTTTCTTTCCCTGTGCTGAATAAGTTACGCTCAATTTCATGATGTACTTTCATTAGATTGTAAATCATGTTAGTTTATAAAATATCACTGTAATTTGTTAGGTCCAAGAATTAATAAATGAGACGAGTCTGTTTTTGAATTAGTTCATTCTGATGTTTGAAGTTCTTGTCCTGTTCCATGTAAAATAGAGTTTAAATATTTGGTTGTCTTTGTAAATGATTTTGCTCGAATGATTTGGATATATTTATGAAAAATTGTTTTGAAGTATTCTATCACTTTTATGTCTTTTGTGCTGAAGTAAAACCTAATTCAATATTTGTGTACATGTATTTAGAAATGATAATATTAAAGGATATATGTCAGGCTCATTTTAAAACTATATGACTCAACAAAGGATTTTTCATTAGTCCTTTTATATTGATGTACAATCTCAAAATGGAGTTGAGAGGAAAAACATATATTTACTTGAGATATCTCGAGATTTTTGTTCCAAACATAGGTCCTTGAGTAATTCTTGACTGATGTTGTTTCCACGATCTGTTTTTTGATTAATCGCTTGCCATCTATACTACTTGATGAAGATGTTTCTTACAGTATTCTTTTTCCAAATAAATCACTATTTCTGATGCAACCTAAAGTATTTGATTGCACCTGTTATGTTTGAAATGTGCAGTCCAATGTTACCAAGTTGGACTGAAGGACTTGAGGTATGTCTTTTTGGGATATTCTGGTATTTAGAAAGGACATCAATGCTACTTTTTAGATTTAAATAAATACTTGGTATCAACTGATGTTTCTTACACTTAGTGTCTCTACTGAGCAATAAGATAATGGTGTTTCATCTGATGATGTGCCTCAAACTCTAATTGAGTAAGCTGATGATGGTGTTGGTGTGTCTTCAAATCAAGTACAACCCCAGTTGTTAGTATTTATTTAAGAAAACAACAGATTAATGATGCATGTTCTGCACCAGCTTCCTCTCCATTTGATCCTGCCCTACATGACCTTGATTTTCTTATTAGTCTTCGGAAAAGTAAACATCAGTGCACACTTCCTAAGTCTACTTATCCCATTGTGAATTTTATTTCATATGATCACCTATCTCCTTCGTCTAGCTCTTTAATAGATTTTATATAACACATGCAGTTAGCCTGATGAGTCAGTACATGCGTGATACTCGCCAACCTTATTTATATGTCGTTTTTCGCATATTGTGATATTTAAAATTTGCATCAGGAAAAAATTTACTCCTCTAAAAATGGTCAATGTAAGATAGAAACATTTATAGATGTTGATTGGGGTGGATCTTTAGATGATAGGAGGTTAACTACCAGTTATTGCACACTCATAGAAGGCAATCTGGTTATTTGGAAAAATAAGAAGTAGAATGTAATTGTTCGTTTTAGTGCTAAAGCAGAATATAGAGAAATGACCCAATGAGTGTGTGAATTGTTATGGCTGCAAAAGCTAATGAAAAAATTAAAATTGTTCAAAGAAGTGAGTTTATCTTTATTTTGTGATAATAAAACAACCATTTGTATAACCTATAATCTAGTTCAATGTAATTGAACAAAACACATTGAGATTGATCGACACTTCATAAAAAAAAAATGGTTGATGACTCCTTATACTTATATTATGTGCCTTCTAGTGAACAAGTGGTAGATGTCTTCATTAAACGATTTTGCAACAAATTTTTTCATAATTCGGTGTGCAAGTTGGGTATGTGTGATATCTTTGCATCAACTTAAGAAAAAACAGATGCATTGTCTAGAAGGAAAGGAAATGAACACAGAGAGTTGACCCCCATAATTTCAACGGTAGTGCCCTATGTTTGCAAGAAGTCCAAACTTTCTTACCAAAATGAAGAGGCCAACCAGCACATCTCTAAACTCTCTCGCTCATAACAATAGGCCTCATTATACTTTGGAATAGAGAATTATAAGTTCCGAAAAAGGACTTTATTGGCAGGAATGGTAAATGCAGGGAGAACCTTCTCCATTGTCATCATGATTCACCCATGGGAGGGTAGTTGGGAATCACGACGACTAATGAAAGATTGAAGCGACGGTTCTATCGGCCAAAAATGAGCCAAGCTGTGGAAGAATGAGTTAAGTATGAAGAGTGCCAATGCTACAAGGGTGAATGTGTTCTATACCTTGGGTTATTGCAACCTCTAGCAATTCCTACTCAAGCTTGGTCCCAGGTAATTCGTTGAGCAAATGCCATGGTCTCAAGGGTAAGACACCATCCTTGTGGTAGGGGATTGACAACACAAATTATGGACACTTCTTAGCTTTATGTTGACCCTTCTCGGTGCAAAAAGTGGCCAATCGTTCTTGGATAATATCTAGAAACTACATGGCATACCTTAGACCATTGTGTTCGATCATAAGGTATTCACTAGCAATATTTGGTCTGAATTGATGAATTCATTGGTACCAAGTCGAACATGAGCTTTACTTGTCATCCTCAATTGGATGGGTAAATGGAGAGAGTCAACCAGTGTCTTGAAAGCTATCTAAGGTGCATGGTGTTCCGACTCCAAAGGCTTGGACTAAATAGTTAAATTTTGTAGAGTGGTGGTACACCAATTCTTACCACTCTGACATTAAAATGCCACCAGTCGGGGCTCTGGATGGTTCTCTTCCCTCTTAATTGGACCAAGTAATTGGATCACAACTTTGACACCCCTGGAAGATTGTCTAAATGATCGAGAGTTGATGAATAAGCTGCTCAGAGAAAAGCTAGTGGAGGCATAGGACATAAAAAAGGTGTTCGCAGATGCTAAAAGGACAGAAATGTCCTTTAAAGAAGGTGAAAACATATTGCTTAAACTGCAGCTTTATAGGCAGTCTTCTATTGCAGTGAGGAGAAGGCTAAAGTTAGCTTCCAAATATTATGGACGATTTTCAAGGACGGGCAGTGGTTTACAATTAAATCGACAAGCAAATTCAAGAATTCAGTTAGTATTCCACGTTTCAATGCTCTAGAAGTACGTGAGACCTCTAAGGAGATCACCACCGAACTGATACTCATAGATGATCAAGATCAAATCAAGGTGGAAGCAAAGTCAATCCTAAAGAGAGAGATATTTCGCAATGGAAGGAAGGTGGAGCAGGCTTGGTTAAGTGTCTAAATCTGGGAACTACATGGACTACTTGCGATGAACACTTCTTTCCTGAAGAGTTAGTTTCCAACTTGAACCTTGAGGAAAATGTTTAGCTGAAGGGGAAGGAATTGTTAGGATTTCACGGGGAGAATAATTTGAATTTGGAGGATTCTGTTTATTTTCCTTTTTTTCTTGTTTTGTTACCATTAATTGCAGCCTTTTCTAGTACATTCCATATGGCCAGTTGGGGTATGAATTAGTTATCATGGCAACTACGGTACCATGCTCCTATATATTCTGTAATCTTTCACAGAAGCTATCTACGAAAAGAATTTACACAATCATTCGCTACAAATTCTCTATTCTACTCTCTCTCTCTCTCTCTCTCTCTCTCTTCTCTATCCTTTCTGCTGTCATTCTCTACTTTATTCCTTCTTATTCTATTATCCAGACTGTCAGTGGTCTGACAGATATGTGAGATGTGTTATAGGAATGTTGAGACCTATGATAATCTCTTCCTGTATTTTGAGATGACTTGGAGAATCTTGTGCCTTGTTTGGGATACTTTTGGTATTCCTTAGGTTTCACCTCTGAAGGTGGAGGTTTCCTCTCTTCGATAGTTTTGGGCCTGATAATGCAGAGGGAGTGTAAAATTATCTGCGGCGGGGCTTTCTTGACAGGTATGTTGGCAATATAGTTTGAGTAGAATGCTAAAACCTTTTGGAATTATGTATCATCTTTTCTGATTATTTGGGATAGAGTTTGTTTTCTAGCTTCCATCTGGCTAAGGCTTATAAACATTTTAGGGATGTTTCTTTTCAGTTTTAATGTAGAGATTGTCCAACTATTCTTCCTTTTGAGTATTTTGTCTCTATCTTTTTCTGTTTTTCTATAATTTTGGTGACCTAATTCTTCTTATTCGTATCCCTTTCTTCCTCTTAATATATATTCTTCTTCTATACAAAAGTGACTCTCAATGTCTGTTAGAAGTAATAAATATTGGAAATTTTTTGCTCCACTACATTTTTTCCTAACACATTTATGAGAATAATGACATTTTTTTAATCATTTGTTCAATTGCTCTCCAGTAGCATTCTTAACCTGCTTCTTTCTTCTGTTTTATATTCTGTGCAACATAGGCCGTTTCTATGCCTTTGAGGAAGCTCAAAAATTGGATTCTACAAAAAGGGGAGACTTGAGATTCCCTGTTCACCAATTTAAAGATGCACTCCAGCAGTGTCTTGAAAAGGTAAGGATGTTTTCATTTTCCTTTGTATATTATTTCATCTTGTTTTTTGGCTTGTAATGATCCATTTGCTGTGCAAATGGAAGTCATCCCTTAAATTGAATCCAAATGGGATTGTATTTGCGGCATGTTGTGTGGAATTCTTAACTGCGTCCATGGTGTTGCTAGACTTGTATAATTAACTGGAGAGAAAGGAAAAAAGAGACACGCTTCTTGTGCAAACAATACTAAGTACCATGAAACTTGTACCCTGAAACAATTGTGCTTGTTAGGTATACGACACTGTTTGTTATAATGTTAAGATTAGTATTTCCAGAACAGTTGGGGAAAGGATGTGGATGTGATTATGAAACAGAGAAGTATAGTACGAATAGTTTCAACAGGTAATTGTTTGATTCTGCTATCTTTAGGGATTTATGATCCATAATTAGAAATGTGATTCAGAATCTATGTTCTAAGTGGAATATTAGACTGGGTTAAGTATGATTCATTCCTTAATTAAGCTGGACCTGTTTATGTAGTTCCAGAATTCATTTGATTAGCATTTACTAGTTCTTTTAGCTGCTTAGATTATTGTGGTGCATTGCTTTCTTTAATTTTTTTTCTTGTGTTTGCAGGGTAGAAATCCTGCACTTGTGGGACGGGTAAAAAAAGGCGATATTCGTGAAATGCGGAGTTTTTATCAACACCAGTATAAGAAATATATCAAAGTCTTTCAAATGGCAGCTGATAAAGATGACTGGTTAGTTATATCTTGATCAAGTGTTTCATTAGGTGTTATTCTCTGAAGACGTTTACATTGAAGAGAATATTTTACTTCTATCATGTGTCTTGAAGAAGTTATACACAAGTACTGTATCGGAATCCCTATGATAAGGAAATAAAAAATATGAACAAACTAACTATGTAATAAAAGAGTAGATGGGAGAAGGCAATCGAGGACAATGTTCCTCTTATACTTTAGAACTTCTCTTCAAATTGGAGCACATATATAATATGCACGATGCTCGCCAAAGAAACTTAACCACGACTGGCTTCCAGTGACTATTATGAGAAGAATCCAAAAATTGATTGTCAACACTAATATTTTTAATAAAATGTCGTTAAATATAAGTTTGGAAAGTTAGAATTTGTTTCTAAAATATGAAAGTTCGAAATAAATCCCAGATTTAATGAGATTTATTGTTAGTGTGATTTTATACTTTTTCTTTATATATGTAAAAATGTCATAACCAGAAAATGAGAAAAACAGTTTTCTCCTACTTTTCTTTTTCTATTAATTTTTTCACATAAAAGAAGACGAATTTATTGAGATCGAAGGAAAGAATTACAACCAAGGAGAATGAGACATTCTCCACAGTGAAAAGCTACCTGTTGTGTATAAAAATATTCTACCATCGATGGAGGTCGAAAATACTAATATCATGAGAAGAACCATGCCCTTTAGCTATAAGGAAGCGAAAAATGTCGCCCTCTCCCATGACTCAGACTATGATGTATTTCAGTCGTTATAAAAACTCAAATTTTGCGCTAACTAGATGCACCAAAAGCTTGCAAAGAAAACGCCATGCCCCAAAGATTTAACTGCTTTCCTTATCCATAGCCTTTAGTAAAAGTACTCAGGAAACTATTCACTATCGGAGACGATACCGATAACACCAAAACAACTTTATTACATCTATCCACAAATTCCAAGCCACTTCAATGGAGGAACAAATGGGCATGTGTTTCTCCTCCTCTTGAGCATAAAACACAACATCGAGAGGAAGGGTTTGATTAAAATGACAAGTCCAGAGCAGGTCATTTGTTTTTAGCTTTTGATGAATCCTAGTCCAAGCAAAGAGGTTCATCTTAGAAGTAACATGAGCGTTCCAAATTGCCTTGGCAACATTCATGAATGTATCGACTTAGAGTTATTAGTGAGGTATTCAAAGAGGGATTTGCAAGTAAAGATACCGAAAGATTCTAGGTTCCACAATCTTTTATCAGGCAGAGAGAAAATGATGTTAGGTGCCAGTCAATCTAATAAGGATAACATGTCTAGAGTCTCCTTATCTAAAAAAGATTTCGAGAGAAGTAGAAATTCCAAAATATCTTTCCTCCATTGTTGTTTTGAAATGGGATAAATGAGCATGATGTCTTGAAGAAAGATTGTATAGCCTGGGAGATGAACTGGTTGTCATGTTTTAAGAATAGGATTGTCTGAGGTTTGTGGGGGTTAAATGGGCAAACAAGGTTTCTATATCAGAAAGAAGAGAATGTTCACGGTGGAGGGAGATTGTGACTGTGATGGCAAGCCCATAGAATTCAAGTGATAGGAAGGTGCTACCTTTCACTAAAGCCAAGAATAGCCAAAAGAAATAAATCATCATAAGGGGTTGAGAACCAAGATAACTCGCTAGTGGCGTTGAAATTGTGCGGAGAGAAGGCCTAAAACAGAGGGCTCTAATCTTCCTCAGGTATCCTATCCATGATGAAGTAGCAGTAAGAATTGACATTGATGAGCAGCCTAATTCAAAATTTTAAAATGGAAAGAATTATGCCTCAATAATCTGCTATGGCTAAAAGCAGGAGAATATTTGTGGAGGATATGGTTGAGATAATTAATAGATAAAATATTTGCATATTTTAATCTCAGTTGACATTTGTGGGGATAGTGAGGTGGGCCACAAAGAATACTCATAAAGAACAATATTAAGATTTATAAGGATGTAGTAGCATATGTGTTGGGTAGAGAAAAGGGCTAATTCATGTTCACTAACTTTCAATTCCAAAGAAAAAAAAAAGCCCAAGTCAGCAACAGATTTAGGAAGAAAAAAATCGGGTGTGGCCTAGCAAACAAGGAAGAGAAGAATGATGAGCGAAGCAAGGGAGAAGAAGTAAAGCAGCTGAAAAGAAAATTATGTGGGAACAGAGAACGATTAATTAGAGGAAGAGTAGTGGCAAAGAGCAGGAAGAGACGATTGAAATCCATACTTGTTGCCGATCCCAATTCATCTTCCATGGCGGATCAGGACCAAAAATCCTATTCACCTGTAAGAGCCCAAGAAGGCATGTTCTAAGCATAATAGGTTTAGCGAAAGGGTGAATGAAATGTGGCAAAGCTAAAAAAATTATATAAACAAGGTGCAAAGATCAACAACCAAGGGAAAGGGAAGAAAATAGATGAGGAAAAGGATGAAAAAAGGAGGAGGTAGAGAATCTCTTTATATAGAATCTCTTTACAATATCCTCCTCTAGTGCCCAATTGCTTACCACCTTTGGACTTTGGTTTATGATTTTTGGGGTTGAGTTGGATAATTATTTGCATAGTGAGGTATGAATTGTGGGCTTGGGAAGACATTCAGGCAAATAAGAAATCT